CATAAACGCATATTACAGAGTTAGATAATAGCCATATATGGGAAATACATGGTTTGAAATAATAGAGGAAGGTTACACAGGTTAGGTATAAGTCTATTCTGTACCGTCCTGAGTGGTCGAGGACTATGACTATTCAGGATAAACGTGGTGGGGGAGGGGGAGGGAATGTCGTCTAGTCCCGTTGGGTCTTGTCATAGTGTGTGGGTCTATCACTCGTCACTTTGCAGGGTGTATATCCAGTCTTCATAAGGCCAGTACGTCGTGCCCACAGTGTGGGTTGGGCTTGTCTCATTGTTGAGGTAGTCGAACTCTTACTTAGGTCGAGTGTAAGGCCCGTCTCGTCGGCTCGTGGTTTATGTGTTGTACGCTTTCGTTACCCCTATTCGTCGGTGTGTGTGATGACTTTCCGAGTCGGCGTGTGGACAGGCCTCTCGTCCTGTGGTCACTGAAAGTGTGAGCTGTGTGATACTTTGTACGTGTTCAGTTAGAGTTATGATACTTGAAGGTGGTAGCTGATGGCCCGTTTGGACCGTAAGCATGCATCTCTTGTGCGTCTCATCCTATTATCATCATCTAGTGCGGTTGATGCCTGAGGTGAGGGCCAAAAAGAAGAGGGGGGGACTAGAACTAGGGGTAGGAAAGGGTGGGTGGGGGGAGGTGGTCTCGGACAGACCGGTGCTGAATCTAGACCGTCTCGTCGTATGCGAAACGTTGGGCAATCTCTAGTGTAGTCTTAAGTGTGGATGTGAATCATGGGATCTGGTTTGGTCATGAATTTTTCCCAGGGGCTCCACACCTCACGAAAGAGTGGGTATGTGTGTGTTATGGATGCATGAATTTCTTCCATGTCTTTAATCCCATCTACCTTCGTGATCCATTCTCTGATTGTGGGGGTCTCAAGGTTTTTCCATTTTGCGGGAATGAGGGCGTTGGCCGCTAAGAGTAATTGTACTACCAGCTTACGTATTGGCTTCGGTAGAGGCGTGTGTGGGAGCAAGAAGAGTAGGGATTGGGGCGTTGTGGGGAGCGTCAGCCCCGTCACTATCCTGACCATTGACAATATGTGGTTCCAATATATTTGTATGTTAGGGCAGTACCACCATATGTGTGCTAAGGTCGCCCCCTGTTGATGGCATTTCCAACAAGTACCCTGGGTCTGTGGGAAGAGGTTAATAATTTCGCCGGCGAGTAGTGCCAGCGAGATATTCTCTTGTATCCACTTTTAGGGCACGTGCTAGCAGCCGACCGCTTTTCCCACTTTGGGCGTAGTAGGTGTGTTTGGTGCGTAGGAGGGTGTGTTTAACTTTTGCGTTGAGTATATCTCGCAGCTCTGAGCGTTTGGCTGTGAGTGTCGTGTAAGTAGTTAGCCTGGTATCACGTTTGTGTAGGTTCTCGAGATCTCTAATTTCGATCGTGAGGGAGTGGATTCTTGCTTCTCTAAGTTTTTTAAGTCGTGACGCCTTGGCTATGATTTCACCTCTAAGAACACACTTGTGTGCTTCCCATACTATGGACGGGGGTGCGAGGGGAGTAGAGTGTTTTTCTGGCGAAGTAGAGTTGGATGGATTTCCGTAGCTCGTCTACGGTGTCCGGAGCGTTGAGTAGCAGGTCATTGAGTTTCCATTGGTATGATCGTTGTGGGAGTGCTGGGATTTGTATGGTAAGAGACAGGGGTGCGTGGTCCGACCACGTGATTGGACCATAATTACTGGAGTGTACCAGGTGGAGGTATCTATGTGGTAGGAAGAACATGTCTAATCTAGAGTAAGTGTGCGTGACCGGAGAGAAAAAAGAGTAGTCCCTGTCTGAGGGGTGGGATGTACGCCAGCAGTCATAAAGCTGCGACTTGTCCATTAAGGTTGCAAATTGTCTTCGAGCCGAAGTCTGGTACTGGTTGGTTCGTGATGTTGTGTCTAATGTCGAGTCGAGGGAGAGATTGAAATCTCCGCCCAGAAGGAGTATGCCTTCTGCGAATTGTTCTATGCGTTTGAGGTGTTGGCGTAGTATTCGGCACTGGTGTTTATTGGGTAGATATGTGTTCGCTAGTGTAACCTTTGTTTGCCCTATTTGTCCCTTGACCAGGAGCA